AAACCAGAAGATATTGATCGTGTGAAAAGAAAATTGAATGAAAGTACTGAAAAATATAATAAGAAAATTGAAGTTGTTCAACAAAAATTGAATAAATTGCTTGATCAACAAACTACCAATGGTAATGGCAATGGCAATAGTGGTAGTAGTAGTAATAGCAGGAGAGACAATGTTAGAAGATTCACTATCAGTAGTTAGTTATTTATAAAATAAAAATGAACAATTCTTGTGATTTTTATATGATTGTTATACAGTTATAATATTATATATATATATGAGTTTTATGTAGTTGTATATATATAGTTTATATTAATTGTATATATACAATTTATATTAATTGTATATTTGTTGTAGTATTTTTTCATCCAAATATCTTATCAATCTTGGAAAAAAGGAATTTATGTATTGATATTAAATTTTGTAAATATTATATATCCTCTTAATACTAATATATATATACATACCTAAAAAATTAGGGAAAAAATAATTTACTTAGCAACAATAACCATTTTCCTAAGTATTCTTCAAATGGTATTAGTACTAAATTTGATTTTCTCATTGTAAAGGCTTTTAGATATCAATGGCAGTAGAACACTTATTAGTTATAATTTTACACATGATTGACTTTTCATCTCTTTGATTAGAAGACAAATTTGGTTCACTTACCTTTTTCATCCTTCTTTTTGGGTCCTTGTATAGTTGAGAAATGAACATTTGGTCCTATTTTGCAATGTCTCATGAAAATTATATCCTTCTTCAATTAGTATAATAGCCTTGATCCTTGTTTCATTGTAAATTGTTTTTTAGGCATAAATAATAAAAAAAAGCTTAAAAAAATCAATATCAAGGTAAAAAAAAACTTCTATACAGGCTTTTATATTGTTTAATAAACAATAAAAGTAAAAGGCCAAATGCTTATTTAATAACAAATAATAATATATACATAATTAATTTTAATAATAATAATAAAAAAAAATATATTATTATGATAAAGAATGATACTAAAAAAAACAAATCACAGAATAAAGGGAAAAGATTTATTTTTCATTTTTTCTCTTTTTTTTTAATAATTATTCTTGTTAATATTCTTTTGATTATTTTTGTGAAAAATTACTATCAGAAGAGTGGCTGGTTGAATTAACATGGATATTAAATTACCTGAACTTGACCCTAATCTTAGATGCTTTTTCGAGTTTAGGCATATCTTCAGAAATTTTCATATAAAATTCAGTCACTGTTGGTTTAGCAATGATTATTGGTGTCTCCACAATAGGTTTAGAAGTTACTTCAGGATTTAGAGTTTCAACAGGATTACATATAGTGGTTTCAGGTTTTGGTATTTCTGAAGATTGTGTTGTTGAAATAAATTCTGTGGTTTGTAAAGTGATCTCTTTAGCTTTTTCAACTGAATTTTCATTTTTCAACCTTTCATTTTCAATTTTCAACTCTTGGATCTACACATATGAAGAAAGAAATTAGTAAAAAAAAAATTCAACTGATCATAAATAAATATATTCAACAATGCCTATTTCTGTTGTTGACTTTGTTTTCTTTGCTCATATATGTCCCAAATAAGGTTGCTTGTCAAAACTCCTCCAGAAATCAATCAGCAGGGTTTCAGCAGGTTACATTAATTGTTTCGGCAGAGTTTCGCATTTTGAGGTTTCACCATTTTGGCATAGTTTCAACAGGATTTTTGATAAGATTTAATATAGTATTGCCATGGTTTCAGTAATTACTAAGAAGGTTTCGCCCACAACCTTAGTCCCAAAGTTTATGAAATTTTTCATTCCACTGATTGTTACTTTTCTCAAGTACCTTAATTTGATTTTCTTTTTCAGGGAGTTGACATTTCAATTGTTGTATATCATCTGATTCTTGTTCACTAAAAACTAGTGCCATAATCCAAAAAAGGAAAAAGTATGGTTGCCATCACCATAATTTACGGCACTAGTCTTTATTGTTCACATCTTAAAGTTTTACCAGATAAAGTTTCCTTGGGTAATACCATAATTCATCTGATTCTGGTAATGAGGGGTCTACAAGTATGACAGTGTGTGGTGATGTTGCTAAACCTAGTACACCTGTGAAAAAAATATAATTTAATCACTTGCAAATAAATACATATTAAATTAAATATTTTTGAACCTTGATACTCTATAAGGCAAGATTGGAAAATGTGCCGTCCATTGATGGTCTATTGGTGGTCCATTGGGTCCATTAGTGTAACACTTTAACCATATTTAGTATTTTATTAATGGCAATGGACCAGTCCAAAATCCATCTGTTCTCAATGGACTAGTCAATTTGCCAACTCTGCTATAAGGCGAACATATTTAATGGCAACAATTGAATCAACTTCAAGTTCTGTATGATTTCCCCATAATGTTATCCTCTTTTCGTTACCATTTTTATCACTTATTATTATATCTTATTTTTGAATCTACAAATAATTTAAAGAACAAAATCAATTGATGAATTTAAAATTTTTTCTAATAAAATATGTATAAAAAGATAAATACTTTTATATTGAAAGCTCTTTTAAAAATACTAAAAGGACTATGAATTTTTTTAATTATTCCAATAATATCTATGAAAATAAAACAAATATTAATAAAAAAATCAAAAAATCAAAATGTACATCATTTTAAAAATTAAAATCATTACCCATATAGCCCTTATAAATAATTATCAAACATTTATCTAATGGAAAAAATTTGAAAACTAATATATTGGCCAAATTATAATTATAGTTATCATCACACTAAAAAAAAAATATTTTAAAACTATGTAATATTAAGGAAAAGTTTAACAACCTGAAATTTTTTATCTTCAAAACATATTTCATACATATGTTGTCTTTGATGATATAATAATTTGCTTGAATGTGATTTAAATATAATTATAATAAAATTGAATGGAGGAATCTGATTGATCAAATTATGGGTAATCATTTGTTTATTTTTATTTTTATAACTAGAGTGACGAGTGGTGGCGATAACCATCACCATTCTTACAAATAAACACTTACTCTCTTGCAATCTCAGCTTTGTTTTGTTGTTGTTTTCTTTTCTCGGAGTTTTTTATTCTAAACATTTGTAATTGTTTTAGAAAAAGAAAAGAGAATTTATTATTTGATCGACAAAAAAGCGTACACTAATTTTTATTTCGGTCGCGTTTACCTCGTCGAAAATTATTTCGTCGACAATCATTTCGTCGACACCTGTTTCGTCGAAAGTTTGTTTCATCGAAAGTTCATTTCATCCTCGAGTCAGAGACCGAACGAGTTAGATGTGAGGAGTTTGGGAAGTTAGTTAAGAAATTAGGTGAGGAAAGCGGAGTGTGTGGGAAGTGTGAGGAGAAATTTGTTTAATGAAGTTTTTTTTTTTGTGACGAAATAATTTTCGACGAAATGAACATTCGACGAAACAAACATTCGACGAAATAGGTGTCGACGAAATGATTGTCGACGAAATGAATCAGACCCACCAACTCATGCTAATTCTTTTTTACCAAATCTTTTTTTAATATCTTTAATCTTTAAAAGATAATATATTCATTGTATTATTTAAAATTAGACAGCAAATTATTTTCTACTGATTTTCTGGGTTCTGTGTTAATGTTCCTTTCCTTAGTGTTTATTATTTTTCTTTCTTCTTGGTAAATTTCATAGGTAATCAACATGATTAATTAAAAAAAAAGCATCTTACGTTCTGTGTGTTTTTGGTAATAATAATGCATCACTACTACATTATCATAAATCAATTAAGTTGATTGATTGATGGATGGATTGACCATCAAAAATAAAATCAAAAAAAACTTACTGTAATTTTGCAAGTGATATTTTAGTCTACTAGTTTCATACATTGTAGAACTTATTTTTTCATTTCCATCAACGGTGCTAACGTTAGTAGTATTACGAACTATATAAACCTTTAATAAAAGTTCTTCTCTACCTTTTAAATATGCCTTAAAATTTTTTAATTTTTAACATTTAGCATATTTTCAAAGCTTGAATTATTATTTTGTATTTTTTTAAAAAAAAACCTTTAAAAAACCAACTGCAAGACAATCCAAACGAAATGCTGATAATCGTGCACCCTCTGACTATATGGCAACACTTTGATTACCATCACCGTCAACAATATTAGTAGCTATCATTGTTTACTTTAGAGAAATTTAAAAAATTAATAAATAAAATAATTTCATCATATTTAACAGCTACGGCCATACATAGTGAAAAGCACCGGAACCCGTCCGATCTCCGAAGTTAAACCACTAATGGCCCAGTCAGTACTATGGTTGGGGACAACATGGGAATACTGGGTGTCGTAGCTTTTTGGTTTTATTATTCTTTTGATATTCGAATAAAGATTGGCATGTGTTATTATTGTCATTGTGTTAAATTCAAAGTAAAACCTAATGCGCATGTATCATATATGCGATATTATTATTATTGGTAATAACCCAATATGTTGCAAACTTGATGATCAAATAATGATCACGATTTTTTTTTTAGTAATATAAAATTTTTGTTTTAGTATGACACACTTGAAGGAAAAATGTCAATATGTATAGAATAGTTATTTATAATAATTTTTCTTTTTTATAGAAGTTATCATGGAATTAAGGATAAACCTTTACCTAAATAACAATGAGAAGAATGGTAAATAATAATAACAATAATAATCAGACTTTAATGTTTGAATAATAAAAATAAAAGTCGGTAAGTCGGACGCAGCAATCAATTGTGATAATATAAATAAAATGATCGACTTATAAAAAACTTTTATCGTTTATATATCGGTTGTGTTCGTACAATTTTTTTAAATACATCCATCATCCATTCATTTTTACAATCAATTCTATGAAGTAATTTGTCAAGTAAATTGCTCTGAAACTTGAAAATTGAAAATGGATAAATCTTACAAGCAATTCAATCCTATCCCAAACTTTGTACAAAATAAGTCCATCTTATGATAACAATTTATTTTATGGTGAAAAATCAATTGACTCGGGATAACGAACAAAGTGATTGATGTGATTATAAACATGCAAATATGCAGAGAAAACGACAATATAATTTTTGTTCTATTTCAAAGAACTCTGCAAAAAAAATAAGTAGTAAAGTCACGCATTTGCTAATTACATATTTTTTTTTATCTTTTTTTCCTGTTATATACACTTTTCTTCTCATTAATCATTGTGTCCTGATATTTTTTGATTCTGCAATTTTGGTTTAAAAAATAAAAAAAGTCCAATTATCTTTCCATAGGAAACTGATCCTTCTGATGCGATGTAATGGAAAATTTTGTGGTGGTATTGGGAGCTCTTCGCTTTCCTGTGCACACGACCTACGTCCCAAAGGGGCAACTGAATGTAAATTAGGATATAGATTGGTTTCTCCGTTATTTTAGAAGCTGAATATCATTTTAATATTTGCTATTAATGTAAAAATTCCAGAAGTCACTCACAACTTCCAGCCGGAGATTGGGATAACCTCTATTCACTGACCAGGATCAAGTGTTTAGCGGCGAACAAACGGTATACTCTTCCTTCGTGGCCTTTGTCTCAAAAGGACAACGATGAGTGTCCTGCATATGCATGGAAAAAATAATTTTTAAATCTGACACCTAAGATTAATGATGTGCCGCGCATAGTTCATGGCACAGTAAGCGAATATTTTTTCTATTAGATATTACGCTTTACGCCCACTACGTGTGAGTACTATACGTATTAGTATGCAGTATGCACACTATGCGCGAAAAAAATCGAATGGCATAAGCTCCACACGTCATTTTATTCTCATATATGATTTCGAGAGCCTTCCCCACCTACAACTTTACAATCGCATATACAACTAGGAAGAAAAAGAATTTATTCTGTGTGGATTTATCATCATCATCATCATCATCATTATTATTATTATTATTATTATTTGGGTGGTGCAATTTATATAAATTTAAAAATCTATGTTAAATAATAACATCAACTGTCACCATTGTTTTATTAGAAAAAGTAGAATATTAATGTGAAATGATGGTTACAACCTGTTGTTAAACCATTGGTAATTTATAAAATCGCCAATGAATTTAGTGGCAGTCAAATGCTATATAATTAGTACTTTACGCACTATACGCGAGAATTTTTGTGAGAATAGTAGCAGATTATTCAAATTACACTACACTGTGTACGTACACCAAATAAAAAAATAATAATATTATTATTATTAACATATGGTATATTCTTTGTTGTAAATTTGTTAATTACTAATGACAAAAAGCAGCAAGATCTGGAGTAGGTTTCAAAGGACCATGTCGTCTGTGTTCATATTATGACCATAATTATGATAAGTGCCAGATGGTAGCCGAAACTACCTACATGGTATATACGTAGGTCGAAATTGCTGAATTTATTTAGCCTAAACTTGGGCGAAACTGATTTAATAATAATGGAAATTGGGCAAAATTATTTTTAAATCTTTTAAACTAAAGTTGATTTAAATATTTATTATATGATTGTTGTTATAAAAAATATTGGGTGTGTAGTATTAGCCGAAACTACTTATTTTTTTTCAAAAATAGTTTCACTATACACTATGCGCTACTATGCGCGCTGTGCGCACTATGCGCGAAAAAAAATCAGGGTTACTATACATGGCACATCTCTATATATAGTCAAGGTAGAAAGCTATCAAAGCTCTTTAGAATAAAAAGCAGCAATTAAAGGTTTGAAAAGAAACATAATTAAAGACTTTATAATAAATTCCCACCGTCAAGACTTGTTGGAAGCTCTTAAAAAAGATTTGATTGAAGAGTTAGTTCTTATAGGAAGGCAAAGATGGCTCAATTAAGGTTTTCGGCCGAAACTCTCTTTATTAGTAGCCGAAATTGCCGAAACACTTTGGGCAAAAATAATTTTTTTATAAGTCCAAACTATTTTTTGTTATTAATATTAGCCGAAATTGGGCGAAATTACTTTAAAGTTGTTTAAGTTAAAATAAGTTGATTGATATAGTTTTTTAATGTTCATGCTTATAAAAAATGCTGAGAAGCCCAAACTAGTTTGGGCTTTGAGAAAGCAGCTTGGACCGGAAACCTTAGGCTCAATCAATCAATAAAAGCTTTGACATTGTTGCGATATCTTTATTAGTGTTGGTTTCCAAAACTAGAGAGTTTCGCAACCGTGCGAAAATCAAAAAGGCTTCGTCATAAGTCGAAACTAGTTTTGGTTTTTGACTATTGACCTTTGATTTAGTTTTGACATATAACTTTTAATTTTAGTTTTGACTTTCGTCCCTTCAAAATAGTTTTGGCGACCAACACTAATCTTTTATCCCCTTATTGTATAAGTGAAACAATGGAAAAGCTTTAGATTACCAAGAAATTCAAGCTCCACCACTCCTACTATTAGTAAAGATGAAGGCTTTGCCAAAATAGCAGAGTATAAGAACGGTGTCTCAAAACACGCACGGGGAAACGGGAAAAGAAAATGTTGATGGTAAGACTAACATGTATGACTCTAATATTTAGTGCAATAGTTATTATTCTAAAGGACAAAAAATAAAAAATATCTTTTCCAATAATATTTTCATTCCCCACAGTGTTTCCTGCTTTTTACGTATTAGGTAATAAATCGCTTTCATCCTGGTAAACTTCATGGGAGATTTTTATAAAGGAGAAATGGCCAATTAGCCGGTCCAAAAGATCAGAGAACATATTATTATTAAACCCAAGTAACATTTATTGAATGATATTAATGCTATTGATAAACAAACCTGAGTGGAGAGTTGTTGCAAGGGTGTATTAGGAAAAACTGGATGCAGTTCATTTTCTTTTGACAAGAGAATTGCAAATAAGCCGTGTGCCCTTTAGAAAAGAGGACGTAGGTTAAGACAATATATACAAGAATCGATGAAAATCCCAAATCTTTTGAAAACAACTTAGCATTATGCTTTTGGATTGATTATGCAAATTATCTTATACAAAGGATATTGAACGACTAAAGCAAAAGCAAAAAAACCCGTAAATATCACACAATCACACTATTACTAGTTACTACCTCACATATTATTTTGATAACAAATTAAATTTTTTATTGTATTAAAAATATGCAAAAAGATAAAAAAAAATTATAATTATAAATTAATAATTAAAATAAAAATTATAAAAAATAATAGAAAATATAATTTATTATTATACATATATATTCGTATATATATATAAAATTTATAAATATATAATAATATATAGTTTGGATTAAATATTTTGATTATACCGAAAAATTATAAAATTATGAAAATCAATATCACAACCCCCAAATACAATATATGTTTAACTCTCTTCATCTTTAGGAGAAGAGATTTTTGCACGTTTTGGTGATTCTGATGTTTTGACATCATCATCTATTAAATCATCATCATCCATCATTTCTTCTTCATCTGATGAACATGGTCGTTTTCGTGATATAGGTGTGGGAAGAGGTTTAACGTTGGCACTTTTTATTTTTGTCGTTGAAGATGAAGATGTTTTGTTTTTTTGTTCTTCTGCTACTTTTTTACGATTATCCTCATTTTGACTATTATCACTGTCATTATCATCATTGTCACTATGAGAATTTTTCTTTTTCTTTATAGTGGTAGGTGATTTTAAATCACTTTGTTGTGGTGGCACTTCTCCTTCTTCAATATCATTATTACCGTTATCGTCTGCATCATAATCATCGTCAACATTATCTGGTTTTGAAATATTAGTAGTATTATTATTATTAGCACCATCAACTGTCGTTGTAGTTTGCTCATTATTTTTGGAAGCAACATCTGACACGGTTGATGATTTATCATTGTTCTTCTCGGTTTCCTCATCGTTGTCCTCATCATAATCTTCATCTATTTGGCTGTTGGATGAAGAAGCCGTAGTTTTTGTTGGATTGACCGGTGCTGCTGATGATTTATCATTGTTATCATTAGAATTAGTATTATCATCATCATTGTCATCATTATCATCATTATTGGCTTCATCTTTGGTGGCTTGGTGATTTATTGGTGGTAATAAATTTTCATTTTCTTCATTTGGTGTAGTTGTTGTAGGTGATTTGTCATTAGTATTTGTACTAGCGCCTTCACCACTGTTATTATCTAATATAAGTGCCAATCTTTGTGATCTTGGTTCATCAGGTGGTAATGACGACGACGAAATTTCTTCATTACGTGCGGATGATGATATTTCATCACCTTCATCATCATTATCTTGTTTACTAGTAACATCACCATTATTAGTAACATTATCAGTACCACTGCTAGTATTACGTTCAACTGAGGAGTCTTCGTTATCAATTTCCATATCATTTGAAGGTTGTAGTGGAGGTAGTGATGACGATGTTGTTGCTGTCGTTGGCGATAATTCTGCAGTAGCAGTGTTGTGATTAAGTTGTGATAGAGGTAATGGAGGTGGCGACGATCTTGATTGTTGATTTTGATTATGAGCACTGGTGGATATATTAGATGAAGTTGATGAAGAAGTATTGGGTGGAGGTGGTGGAATGTCTTGAAATGTACTAAATGGTGGAATACTTTGATTGCTATTACTGCTATCAATGTTATTGTCATTGCTACTGCTATCATTTTTATTGGTGGCGGTATTGTTGTCGTTATTGTCGTCGACATTATTTTCTCTTGGATTATCAACGGCCATTGCAGTTGATGATGATGTTGATGCATGATAATTATTATTGTTATGATCTTCAGGTTTAGTTTGATCTTTATAATCACGAATATCGTGATGTGATGATGGAGGAGGCTCGTGAGTATTAGTGGCTGATGTAGAAGATGAACTAGCAGCAACGGAAGGATGCTGATCGTTGTTGTTGTATGAATGAGCTCCGCTATTATGCCTTACATTATTGCTATGTTCATAATAATAACCATCATCTCTACGATCATGAGGATGGTAGGGATGTTGAGAATGATGATGAGGTGGTTGTGGAAGATAACTGTTGTTGTTATTATTGGAGTTTTGAGAATTTCCATGTTGATCAATATCAGATAATCTAGGAGATGAAGTAGTAGGATAAGAAGAATGTGTAAGAAGAGGTGGAGAAGTATCCATCATATTAGATGATGACTGAGTTGGTGGTAACGGTGGAGGTGGAGAAGAGTAACCATTATTATTATTATTATTTCCACGACGATGAGGATGGTGATGATCATCGATTAGTGGTGAGGAAGAATGTTTATTGTCGTTATTATTGTTGTGATGAATAGATTGAGAAGCGGCGGATGATGATGTTTGTGAATGTTGAATAGGAGTCAAAGGTCTTTGGTCATGAGGTGCAGATGGTGGTGGCATTACAGAATTAAGAGAGTGTTGTTGGTGTTGTTGATTCGAAGAAGGAGATTGTGGCGGAGGTGGTAATTGATTATGAACATAAGATGAAGAATTAGCAGAAGTTGACGATGATGATGGAATTGGACTTCTTCTGCCAGCACTACCACTGTTGTTATTCATTGGAGGCAAGTCACGATGTTGATGGTGAAGACCACCAAGATTGCTACTTTGGCCAGAATGATGATGATCATGGAAATTCATCGAGATGGGAATTTGAGGAAGACTAGGTCTATTATCAATAGGTCTGCTACCATAAGTTGGCATTGGTGGAGGTTGGTGATGTGGAGGCGGAGGAGTTTGTTGGGAAGAGAATGACGGTGGTGGTGGACCATTTGGTTGTTGTTGATGATAAGCTTGAGGATTGATATCTTGAGCCATTTGAGCAGCAGATGATGGTTGACTGCCACTAGTGTTGCTACCACCTTGTATTTGCTGTTGATTTCTCAAGATTTGTAATCGTTGTTTAATATGAGCATTATTTGGATCAAGTTCAGCAGCACGTTGATAGGCATCTATTGCATCATTGGTTTGGTTGTTGCAGGATTCATACAGGGTACCGAGATCATACCACACCTCGCTAATATAGGGATTTAAACGAATTGCACGACTGTATGCATCTAATGCATCACGGTGCTATTGAAATGAAATAAAAGAATTGACATATAGTCAGTTGGTAATGTAAATTAATTGATAATTTTATCGATTATGAAGAAATTGGTTAATTGATTGATTGAATGAAATTAATAATTACTTGGCCAATCTTGTAATAGAGAACACCGATTGAGCACCAAAATGTTGGGTTTCTTCCATCACGATAACTAATCAATTATAAAATGAGTTGTTAATATATATATATATATATAAATATCAATATATAAATATTTCAAAATCGAATATCGACTATATTAACTTACACAGCTTGTTGATAAGCTTCATATGCTTTGTTGTATTTTTGTTGAGCCATATAGCAACGACCAAGAAGATACCAAGATTGTGCATCATTTGCATCTAAAATTGATAATTTTAGCGTTTATTTATTTAAAAAATTTAAATTTTTATCACAAGAAAATTACCAGACTCGAGCGATTTTGTTAGAAAATTGATGGCAAGATCTTGATTATTAAAACTTGCATTTTGTTGATGGTAGAGCCATCCAAGTTGTTGAAGAACTTTTGCGTGATTTGGGTTTTCTGCCAATACGCGCTCATAAGCTTCTTTAGCAGCCACGAACTAAATTATGGGGGGTTTTTTTTTTAAAAAAAGTTAATTACCATTATATAGAATTAAATAACGAATAGAGGAGCGGCATGAAAATGAAACTTACATTTTTTTGTTGCTCGTAAACATGACCAATTTGGAACCAGATGTCAACCTCAGTCAATGGTCGTGGTGGATTATAAAGAATATATTTGAAACACTAATAATATTAATATTAAAAGTGGTAATTAATAAAGCGGTAATAATAAATCAATATAAATAAATATCACATGTCCTCTCTTATATTCATATCTCTCTTCCTTTCCCTACTTACTTGTAAACTTTGATCATATTTTTGTTGTTGTTTATAAATGATGCCAAGTCTAAAATATATTTCATTTGCTTTTTCAAATTTAGACTCCATTCTTAATACTTGCGAAAATGCTTCTTCTGCATGATCTAATGAACCATAACGATCGTACAAAATACCAATTCCATACCAAAGTTTTGGCTCCTATTTAAAAAGAAGTGATAATAATGAAGAAGGATGAAATCGTATGGATGAACAATTAACTGGACTTTTGGAGTAATAATAACAAAGAAAATGAATAGGTGAATAATTACCCTTGGATTTGGTAAATGATATAGAGCTTGTTGATAAGCGTTGTATGCTTTTTGTAAATCATCCATCATCAAGTAACAATGGCCTATAGATGCACATATATATATATATACACACACGTATATATCGTTATGATTAATTGCATATTTTACGACAGAATAATCATTCTTCAATATGATAATAATAACCCTACCTAGAGCACCCCAGATTTCACCATTCCCTGAATCAATATTTAATATTCTTTGAAAATACTCAATTGCCTATGTGTTATATCAATGTATTTCAATTATTAATTATTAATAATTGTTATGATATTTATCTTGATCTATAATAATATCTTAATTACCTTTGGAAATTGCTCTTTTGACCTATAAAGAGCAGCAATGCTTTGTAAGGCAGGTATCGAATATACATTGTGACGCAACGCAGACTCATACGCACTCATTGCACGTTCATCTTCGTGCATTAGTTCTGCCGTTGCACCTATAAATATTGTAAAAGATTGAAAACAAATGGATGTGAATGAAAGTAAAGTTGTTGAGACAATCATAAGTGATCACAAGTTTGTAGGATTAAAGATGTTCGTAAATAGTGTAAATAAATGTATTATGTGGTGTTTACAGTATATTTATATTGCATGTTGTTGAATGAACTGTTTTTACTTTATACAAAATTTATTTATACGAATGAGCATTACCTAGTACTATCCACGTTGACTCGTTTGCCTGAGAAAGTTTCTGTAGACAAGGTAATTGGTTATTAGACGATGACATTTTTTAAATTGTCAAAGAAAATATTTTTTTGTGAGAGGAAAAAAATTTTTTTTATCAAGTGAAATAATTAATTTGTGAAAAATTTCGAGAAAGAAGAAAAAATTACTAAGAAAATTAAGAAATTGTTGGGTTATTGTTGTTGTTGTGTGAGTTTAAGAGTTATAAAAAAAGGTTAAAAAGGGGTTTTATATAAGAAAAATAAAAAAGTTAAGCTTTTATTATTTATTTATTTATTTATTTATTTATTTATTATCTGTTATTTTTTCTTTATTAATATTAATTTAATTTATATTATTACAATAACAATTATTTATTTTAATTTATTATATAAAAAAGAAAAAGTGAGATCAATCAATCAATAAATAAGTAAAATAAAATAAATGATGTGACATTGATGATGTTGATTATTATGATGATGATAATAATAGTGAGTAAGAAGGAATGAGAGAGAGAGAAAGTAGAGAAGTTTGTAATTTGTATGAGCACTATGTATAAACTAGTAAAAGTTTATTATGGGTTTATGAATAAAAGAGTTTTAATTTGAATTTTAATTTGAGTTTGAATTTAAGTTTTGAATGAATATACTTTATTTAATATATTAAAATAATATAAATTATACAATACAGATTATATAATGTAATATAATTGTAAATTATACATAATAATACAAGCAAATTGCCTATTATTTATTTATTTATTTGTTTATTATCATATTTTATTTATTTATTATATATATAAAAAGGAAAAATTAAAAAATTAAACTATATAATAATAATAATAATTCATGAATTTCGGAAATCCCAATTTATCGAATGTCAATTTTTCCTTATTATTATTATTATTATTTAAATCAAAATGTTTGCAAGCAAGTGATGAAACAAGAAAGATGGAAAAAAAAAGTTTATTTCAATTCCAGAAACTTTTTTTAAGCTTTTTTTAAAATTATATGATGATGAAAAAAAAATTTTTTCATAATTCATTTTCTAAAAAAAATTCTTCCCGTTTCTACTTAATTGAATAAATATAATATTTATATTCGTATTTTATTTACTTTATTTAAATGTAATTATGACTTTTAGCATGGATCAAACTAATATTAACAACAAATTGGAAGAAGTCATTCAAGTTCAAGCTCTTCTTGATTCACCGTCGTCATCGGAAAACTTCCGTCAAAACTATCACAGCATTGTTATCAAGCCTCAAAATGATATTTCCATTGTTACAAAATGCGACAATGATGATAATTCTATTTTCGAAGTCGAAAAAGAAGGAGAATCAATAATTTACAATCCCTTGAATATTATCGGTTCTTGTTACAACAAGAAGAACAAGGAAGAAGAAGAGGAAGAAGTTAAAGTCGACGATGATCATGTGCATGTCGACGACGACAAATCAGATGATAATTCTACGCCCAACACAATCACAACAACTGCTAGTTTTAAATCATCTTCCTCATTATCACCTTTAGGATTTTATGATTCTAACACTAATATTGATACTAACTCGACAACTCCATTAGAAATTTCTCCATTATCAGCCGTGACCAACAACACCAATACTAATGATGGTAATGGTACCAAAGATGGAAAAAACTTCTGCAAAGATGTTGAAATTACTAGAATTATTGAACCTATTGTTCAAAGCATCGAAGATTTGAAATCTAAATTTAACGAATGTTATTTACGAAATGATGTTTGTTGCATGAAAAACATTAACATCAAGGATTGCGGTGATAACAACGTAAACTTTGATGAAAGATCTCAAGATCAACAACATTATTACGAAACTCTGATTATTTCTGGAAGATTATTGGATTTTATTATCAATTATAATATCAATAATAATGATGCATCATTTCAACTTCCCGATGAAGCAAAAGAACATCTTGAATTTGCACGCAATATTTTATTAGAAAAAGAATTGTTATACAATAATAATCACAATACAAATAATCATTTACAAGAATTATCTGGAACTAAAGGCCCTAAAAAATTTAAAGGAAATCCATCAATTCATCGTTGTAACTCGTCAACAATTCCAAACTCCAAAAGTAAACAACAAAAACCTATCAACAACAACAAATCACGTAGTTCAACATTTCCATCAACTCGAGATTATTTTTGTTATAGCAACAAAAGTGCACCTATTCATGCCAATGCCAATAATAGTAATAATAACAATGGATACAACAATAAAAGACGTCATAACGGACAATCAGCATCATATCATGCTACTAATTACAATGGTACAAATTTCAATAATCGGTTAAATAATAATAATAATAAATATTACAACAACAACGCTGGAGGAAGGAAAGTTATTCTTCAAAATAATAATAAACCGAATCAATCTCGTCCTCTCCATCCGTTTCTTCGTGGTTCAACAAATGTTGTAAATCCTTTTTATCAACAACAACAGCAACAAATTAAAAATAATCGTAGCGTTAATATTGACGGTAGATTAATTGGATTCTTACCTTCGCGTTGTTTCATTTGTCGTGGATTTGGTCATTTCGCCAATGATTGTCATTACCAAAAAAATAAGGAAACTATTACACCTGATAATAATAATAATGCTACAACTTTTATTTCTCCCAACATCATCAATCAACAAAAATTAGCTCGTCGTAGACGTGTTGCAGCAACTCGTTACAATAGACGTAATAACGCTAACGTGGATAATAAACCCAAAGATGTTGTTAATAACAGTGATGTCAATAACACCAACGCCAATAATAATGATAATATTAATAATAAGGAAGCTAATAGCAACACGATTCAATTGCAAAAAGTTGAAGAATAAAAAATGAAAATTTATTTTTAATTGTTGATAGTTGCATATATAGCAAATAAGAATACCGATAATAATAATGTATTGGGCAAGTTAAATTAATTGCTAAATATAATAATTACGAAAGAATATTTTCTTCATTGAATAAAAAGTCCCACCAACACAAGTAACATGACACATTGTGTTGATGACGGCTGACGCGTGACTACGGCAGTTTATTATTATTTTTAAGAGTAGATAATTAATTATAAAACTTGAAAAATTTCTACAAACCCGTTAATTGAAAAATTTGATTGATTAAATCACAACCCCAAAAAAACCAATTGATGACCCAAAAAAAAATTTTATAACAATATAAAGAGTTCAAATTTAAATTATAATAAACCGTGTTGATATAATAAATATCCAAGCTCTTGTTACATAAAATGTTTTTATCATCGTACTGTGTGGCAAATCGCGTTATATATTATTTTATTATTATTTGAATTGTCTTTCTTTACTTGTTTTTTTGTATACCATCAAAACTAATTTTTTCGCTGACAGTAATCATAATAATAATATTTTGTTATATTTAACCGAAAAAATTCAGTGTGCGAGTAGAAACTCCTTACTAAATGTTAGAATGGATTATACACAAAAAGAAATTCCAACTACAGCTATTTCATTTAATTATGAGTGGACCGATGATATACAAAGAAAATATAAGTCCAAAAAAAACTAGTCGATATGAAATTCTTTCTATTTGGGTTTTTTTTAACCAATTTGCAGCTCTCAACCAGGTTCGAATCATCTGAACTTTTCACATAAATAAATTTAGTATGCATATGAATTATTGTCATAATCATCCGTATTAGTACATATTAATATTAACATATATCAATCATGTGTATCAATATCCAATTTGTCTGGAATTCCTGTTCTAGAATAATAATTATTTATATTATTATATTGGAATAAAAATGTGATTGTCATGTATTGATTGATATGTATGTAATGTAATACATCGATCTCCTTACTATTCCTTTTTATAATATTGTTTTTTTTTCCAACCATAAACTTAACAAAATGAATAGGTTAAATACGTTTAAATTTGTAGCGACTTTAGCAAATGATATAAATGGTTTATTGGAAGATGTGGAGGAACACAATGTTTCAATTGAGGTTGGGGAGAAGCCTGATTTTAAAACCTTTTATGCACATTCAATTATCCTAAAAGCAAGAACGCCTTATTTTCGAACTGCTTTATCGTCAAATTGGGCTAGAAAAGAAGGGAACATCTTAATTTATTCCAAGCCGAACATTAAACCCAAAATATTCGAGGTTATTTTAAGGTAAGAGGAAAAAAAAATAATATAAATTTTCTTTTAATTTTAAAATAATTAACGATAAATTTTTTTTTTGGGGGGCAGATTTATATATGGTGGAAATGTATGCATGGAAATTCTGGATGCTATGGAAGCGCTTGATTTATTAATAGCATCGGATGAATTATTACTTACAGAGTTGACAGAATATGTGCAAAACTATTTGTTAGAAAATGAGTTTGAATGGTTGGAAAAAAATTCGATTATAGTCTGGGAAAACATATACAAGTACGAATCATGTGTGAAATTGCAAGATTATTGTATAAAGTTGATTTGTAAGGATCCAATAAAGTATCTATTCACATCTGCCGAATTCTTAAGCATGGATGAAAAAACATTATCAGAATTTTTAAAATTAGATGGTTTACAAATTGAAGAGATTGGATTATGGAATAATATTTTAAAATGGGGTTTGGCACAGAACCCATGTTTATTACTACATAATAATAATAACGATAATAACAACAGCAATAATATTTTGTTAGATGATGATGATGCCGGTAATAATAATAATAATAATAATAATAATAATGACGATAATAGTAATGTGAATAATGTGAATGTGATGATGACCATCGCCACCATTAACACCAATAATTGGGCAAAAAAAGATTTTGATTTGTTGGCCAACACTTTGAAAAATTTAATACCTCTCATCACCATTTCTCAAATCTCTTCAACCGACTTTCATAATAAGATATGGCCATTTAGATATATATTACCTGATAAGATGCTTGAAGAAATAATGACTTACCACTTGGATCCAACGTCTCCACCACTACCGGTTGTTCAAGCAAAACGGTTCCAATTTGATTCATCATTACTAAGACCAAACCATATAGCATTGATATCAAGTTGGATTGATAGACTAGATCAAAAACGTTACACTTGTGAGGAGATGCCTTATCGATTGCAATTGCTGCTCAGGGGTACACAGGATGGATTTGACACTGAGACATTCCATAAGAAATGTGATCTGATAGCAAGAACACTGGTTGTGATGAGAAATAGTAAAACTGGTGAGATTATAGGCGGATATAATCCAATGATGTGGACAACAAGTGTGGATTATAAAATTACAGAGGATAGTTTTCTTTTTTCATTTGGTAATAGGTGGAGATTAGAAGATGCCAGGTTAAGCAGAGTGTTGCATCAACGTTCGTTTTACGCAATAAGATTTAATGGTAAAAATTATGGTCCATGTTTTGGTGATAAGGATTTGTGTATGAAAGGTTGCTTTAATGAGAGTGGTAGTTGTTCAGCACAAAAAGACGATTATTGCACTAGCATCACAGATTGTAAAGTGTTTTCAGTTGACGAGTATGAAGTTTTCAAAATTGTTAATAAAAAATCACAAGTTTATTCATTTGAATTCATGGAAATGTGACAAAAAAAAAAACAACAACAACATAGATGGATTAATTAACTAATTATTACGATTACCTAATTCGTGTGAATATAAAGATATCTTCGTTTGTTAAGTTGGATTATATTTTGGTCTGCCCAAGTTCTTTCCAAGAACGGGAATTTAGTTGGGCTTTGTTTAGTACAATTTTTTAATTAACATTTTTTTAATTATTTTTTAATTACACACCATAATTTATTAATTGACAATAACAATAATAATAATAATAATATAATAATAACAACAATAATAATATTAATATTAATTAATAATGATTTTAGATTTTATATAATTTTTATTTATTTTATTCTTTTTTTAATTATAGATTAATGATAATAAAATTTAGACAGGAAAATTTTTTTCTGTGATTTTTTCGTAGTAATAACACTACAATAGTAAGCAAAATGATATGCACAATGCAATTATAAATTGGGGTGGGATATTAATTAGACTGAAATTTCTTTTTATATTCATAATAGAAGCTTCTCTGATTAATTTAACCATACCTTTAGTCATATAACCACCCACATGGTTGTTATTAAAATAGATATTAACAGAGATAAAATCTGATGTAGCCATTATACGCACACGACACAGCAATCAACTAATTTGGTACATTGCTGACAAGGAGAGAATGCATGTGCGTGATAGATTCATCAAGACGTCATAATAATAATAATTATTATTACGATTAATCTAGCGTCTGGTATTACGACTTACAAAAAAATTATTAAATCTAGCAGAATTCGTATGGAAATTTTGTGATTAGACTAAATTGTCCTGTTGTTCCCAAAGCCCTTAACCTTTTAAATATTTAATGCGATTAGAACGTGCGTGGTAGAGTATTTTTATTATAGACTTATTTATTGAATAAATTCCAAGTCTAGTTCTAATTAGGAAATTAATTAAAATGAACTAATCTTACACTAATTAAACTCTCCCAAATAACTCCTACTCTTTAGCAACTGGTTTAATAATGAATAATAGAATTTATATAAGATAAATAGATTTTTTTATTATTTTCACAAAACTCTTATTGACGGATATGTGTTGCAATCATTTAAGAAGATTTCTTTTCACCTTTTTTTGAATTACTTTTTATCATCACCAATGCCACAAAAGTAAATACGACTGTTAGACCAACCAATAATAAAACTACAGGGATCCTAATAGCATATGATCTATCAGGAAAATAGTCATGAAATTGATGACCGACATCTACAAAAGGCTTTTTCAAATGAATAATTTTTTTTTTCATTAATAATACTAATAATAATAATAATAATCATCGTCATAATAATAAGCATGTCAAATAAAATATTGATTGATTGCTTGATCGTAAGCGCACACCAAAACAAAAAATATGCTTAAATACCATTATTAAAGCCCATGTAGTATAATAGCCAAATATTATTACTGATGTTAGTAGCAAGGTTGCTCCAACTGCTTTATCTTGTCCTCCTGAAGCCTATTATTGTTGTCATTAGCAATGACGGTTGTAATAATAAAATCAGATCAGCTTTTTTATTACAAGTACTGACTGAATGATGGATGTATTAATTTAACACAATGTAATATAGTATTACAAACCATTTTTTTGCCTCTAGAATATATGTATTTGAGTGTTGGATTTTTTTAAAATTTATATGGTCGATCATTTATCCGTGTAACATCCACGCACCTGTATTTAAAACGATGGATAATTTTTTTTCAACGAAAAAAAAATTTTAAAATATGAATTTTTATAAACAAGCAGCAGAAATTTTGGAGAAATTATTATCACACAAAGGAAGTATAAAGTCACTTACATTGGCTGATAATATTAAAGAAAAGAAAAAAATGTATGCTATAATATGTGAGACATTGAAATGTAAGTTTACAAAAAGTTTTTTTTGTATTAATTTATTGATGAAATTCATACATTTGCAAAATATAACAAATAGATAAGGATGTTTTGAATATCATCATTGAAAATTCAGGATTTTTAGGATTGGAAAAAAAGGTATGTTGCTAATAATAAATATCATTTATATTTGTAGAACTCGATTCTCAAATTTCAAATTTATATAAAACATAGGTTCCAAAAAACCTAGCCATGGTTTTAATATACGATTTACTGTTTAGTCGAAATGGATTGAAATTATTATCAGATGGATATTATAAACAAGCGATTTTAAGAAATGAGATTAGATTGAGAGGCGAACTTGTACGATTAAAGATAAAACGTAAAGTTAAAGATAATGAAGATTTGGTGGCTCAAAGCGTTCGTGATTCATCATGTGCGTATTTACATGTAGATGAATTTGAAGCGATCGTAATAATTATTTTTAATCATTGATTATTTATTATTATTGTTATTTAGTTATGACATTTCCTAGATATATACGTGTTAATACACTTAAAACTACGGTCGATAAAGTGATAAATCAATTTATAAGAGAAGGTTATAAATTAGAATACAGCAATGACGATGATAATGATTTGAGTAAATTAAGGTGATGATAATATTCTTGAATAAATGATTTTCTTTTTTTTAAAATTCTTTGGAAAAAAATAAATAACTTTTTTTTTTCAAAATAGACCAAAAACTATTAGAAGAGATAAGCATTTGCCAGATTTATTAATTCTGCCACCAAATACTGATTTACACAAACACAAACTTTATATTTCTGGAGAAATTGTTCTTCAAGTATATAAAAAAATAATACATTTTTATTGTTTTAAAAATAACGATTATTTAATAATTCTTTATTAAAAAAATAAAATTGAAGGATAAATCATCATGCTTTCCATCATTTATATGTTCACCAACCATCAATTCACATGTTATTGATGCATGCGCAGCACCAGGCAACAAGACGTCACATTTATCATCTGTCATGAAGAATAGTGGTAAAATATGGGCGTTCGATTTGGACAAGCAAAGATTAAATTTATTGAAAAGGTTGACGGAAAAAGCAGGGTGTAAAAGTAATTATTTATAGCGAGTTATATTTTAATTTGTGTGTGGAGGGAAATGTTTATATCTATATTTTATCGATTACAATTATATTTATAATTGTAATTGATTTATTAATTAATTAGACATTGAAGCAATTAATAAATCATTTTTTGATGTTGATCCAACGGATAAACAATATTCAAAAGTTGAATTTATATTATTGGACCCATCTTGTAGTGGATCAGGAATCGTAAATCATTTAGATAGATTAATTAATGACTCTTTGGATGTAAATGATGATGATGAAAATAAGGACGATGACGACAATAGCAATAGTAATGACAATGGTTAAATGTTTTAAATGTTTATGATATATATATATATGTTTCAAGATATTAATCCAATGGCTGCTTTATTACTAAAGATGAAAGAATCAAGAATCTAAGTGAATTTCAAGAAAGAATTATTTTACACGCATTTAAATGTAACTATTATTAAAATAACAATCATCATTTCTATTGATTTTTTTCCAATTATAATAACAAAAACTTACCAACTATATAGTTCCATACGTAAAAAGGATAGTGTATTCAACATGTTCAATTAATGTAAGGGAGAATGAACATGTAGTGAGAAATGTATTGAAACAAACAGGTGATTTTACACTTGCTGATAGGAAAGATGTGTTGGAAGCATGGCCAAGACGTGGTAATTCAAACGAAATCGATGAAGGTAGATAAATTACTCTTCATATAGATATTTATAAATACAATATTTACCAGATTTGTTGATTTATTGTTGATTTATTTATTGTAGAATTGGCAGATAAACTTGTTTGTACATCTCCAAAAGAAGATTTTACTAATGGATTTTTTGTCGCATGTTTTATTAAAAAAAAATCAATTAATAATAACAGTAGTAGTAATAATAATGATGGCGTGGCAGTAATTAGCAAAAATAAACGTAAATTTATAAATGATGGTGATGTTAAAGGAGAAGAAATCAATCTCGAAGAAAAAAATAAATTGAATAAGTTAAAAAGTAGTAATAAAAAGAAGAAAAACAAACGTAAAAAAATTTCGAAAAAATAAAATAAAAATTCTTCTAATATGAAAAGCCTATGTATTATTAGAACTATTCATATATTAATATAGACTATAAATTTTATACCTTGCCGCTAAATCAGTTAATCAAATAATCACAAAATTTACAATAACTGAAATGTCTACTAACTACTGATACATAGGTAAACTCAAAGAGTACTCTCAATCAATTGTCAAAGCACAAATAAATGTCTGACTTACCGAGTTTACCTGTGTAATTGATTTTTTTTGGAAAATGATTTAAAATCTATCAAAGTAATCAATAAATAATTGTTAAATGGTCGAGAAACCATTAATTAATATATTAAAGAAACTATAACTTTTAATACTAACGCTAATACTATTATTATAATGATAATTAATGAATGCCAAGAAATTAAAATTTCTTCTTCACATAAATATTTCTTAGTACTTTATTTTGCCCTCAACTAGACATAGCCCTTTTTGATGGTTGTTGATTTAAACTGTAAAACAATAGTAATAACATTTTTTTTTAAGTCAATAAATTTTTTTTAAGCTTCAAAAATACAAACTAGATTTCACAAAAAAATAGAAATTAAAGAGAATGTTATTGCAATTTGACACATCTTCGCTTGCACTATCCATCTATTCATAGCCTCCAATTCTTTTCCTATTTTTCTTTCTCTACCATTAATATTGCTTTTTCCCAATATCTGCTTATGAGATGAACTTTAGACGCCATTTTTAAGTACATTTTGAATTTTGAATATGTCACCTTTCAAAAAAAATAATAAACATCTAAATTTTCACACAATAGATATTTGATTGTTTGCTTCAATAGTAAACTCTGGCATTACTAGTGAACAATCGAAGTAGCTCTTATCAATGAATTTCCAGTAAAACCATTAGCTGACATTGTGTTAGATCTTGGAATTTCATTACATAAATTTAACACCTGATCCATCACAAAAAGGTCAAGGATTACGTGTTCAAGGTCCGGTTAAAAAAATTGTCACACAGCCATATTGACGTGATGGTTAAATATGGAGGAGTATTGAAAGTTGCTTCAATTTATGTGAACAAGCACCCCCAGTTAATGAAAATTGTCCAATTGAAAAAGGAGACCATCCAGTTGACAAATCGATTGGGTTGTCCGGAGATGTTAATATCATTAATTTATAAGGAAGTTAGAAGACGGAAAGCAAAAAGGAATTGAATGATTTTAAGCTGGCCTGAATATGTACTGACTGCAAAAAGCTGAACCCAACCGTGTTGAACCGCGGTTTGTCGATCTGGTCTACATAAATAATTTAATATTAAAATTAAATTCGACCGCATTTAACCAAATACAGTTAGTTGAATTATGTTGAAAATAAAAATTTACCTTAATATCAATTGTTTAGATAGTCGACTTGAGATTAAACTAAAGCCAACCACGGTTTAATCAATACAGTTGTAACATAGTAATCGTTTAAACTGTGGGTTTGTTTATACATACAATGGTTTTTTATTAAATATATCATTTTATTTAAATATATTGGCTTAGAACTGCAGTTTACAACCGCGGTTCAAACCGGAAAAAATTTTTCAACATCCGATTAATCGGAGTATCATTCGGCGGATAAATTAACGTATTAATAAGACTAAATAGTTTAGTCAGTTTAGCCAAACGCTCATTGAGTTACACGCCAGCCCTACTGTACACTCAATTTGAATGGTTACTAAAGAGTATCGTTTTGTATTGGGTAGCAGTGTTATACACAGACGTCCAAATGACAGCAAAAGTCATAAAGTATCATTGCATTGGCTTACCAAAAATGGTGTCTGCAATCAATTCAAAAAAAGTTAAAAGTCAAGCAAGCAACCGGATTTTTATAATAAAATACTTTCACGTAATATTTTCTTATTGTTATGATTTTCTCAAATTTTACTGGCCAAAATATCTGCACGTGATAAATTTTAAAAACTTTAAAATTTTGTTCAATTAACATTGATAAACAAACAAAAAAAGATATTTTTTTTTTTTCAAATTAAAATATATAAATAATATTGAACTACTTTTTTTAATAATAATAATAAATTAATAAAAGAAATAAATTATTTACATTCTTTTTTTCCTCTTTTATCTACTTTCCGCCCCTTTCCCTTTTCACTCTTTTCCTTGATATAATTTTTTCATAAAACTTTATTAAAAAAAAAATAAAATGGCAAATTGGAGGGTTAGTAAAAGTAAAAACAATCAACGTAGTTAAATTAAAATATCATTAACGTATAAATCATTTATTTTTCCTTTTCATAGAAAAATTTTACAAATGTGCCACCAACTACCAAAACATTAGCATCTATTTTAGTCATAGTTTCAATTTTTGGAGCAATAAGCACATTTAAATGGCCAACCGGAGACAATATATTATCGAATCTTGTAGTAGTTCCAGGAGTAGCAATATCAAAATTTTGGACATTTCTAACAGCTGGATTCCTAGAAACTCACCTTATCACAGTAAGTAATGTTGTGATCGATTGATTATCATCATCATATCCATTATTATATTTCATCATTGTAATCACTAATATTATATTCATCAACAATCTCTGATAACAACCAATTTATTAGTTTATTGGAGATGTTCTAATGTTATTGGGATGTGGAAAATATTTGGAGAGAATTTGGGGATCAAGAGATTTTTTGAAATTTGTAATGGTTATAATAATTGGTGCAAATTTATTAACCTGTATAACATATATAATTGAATATTATATAACGGATAATACATATTATTTGTAAGTAAATAAATATTATTATATTGATATTATTAATATAATTTTAATGGTGTTGGTGTTAATGTTATTAATGCTAAAATAGATATAAAGTACACTGTAATGGATTGATAGGATTAGCATGTGGTTTTTTAGTAGCATTGAAACAATTAGACCCTGAGCATTTAGTATTTAAGAGCTTATTCTCTATAAGAATTAAAGTAAGTGGTAGTGGTGGTAATAATAATAATATTGCTTTATTATTACTAATATCAATACAATACTAATATCATTACTACAAAAACATTAATTTAGTATTTTTCTAGTTTATTTATTATTGGTAGTTTAATAAATTATATTGTATTTGAAGCACAAACACAGTTTTTATTGGTAATTTATGGATGGATAATCTCATGGATATATTTGAGATTTTTTAAAATACAAGATGGAATTAAAGGTGATTCAAGTGAAACCTTTTCATTTGCAAGTTTCTTTCCCGAGTTCATCCAGTAAGTAGTAATGTTATTAATATGAATGGTTTGAATTATTATTAATGGCAGCAAAGCAACATATGCAGACATGTATAAACGTGTAATGTATTTTGATATATTGGTGTTTATTAATTACTTTACTTTTTTTTTAGACCAATAATTAAAATAATTTCAAGAGTAATTTTTAATATATTAGTGCTATTCAGATGTTGTAAAGCAACACAAAAAAGAAAATTTAATTATGATTTAGAAAGTCCAAGTTTCCAAAATTTAATACCTGCTATGCCTGGAAGTGCAAGAGCAGAGGCTGAAAGAAGAAGGCAAATAAATAAATAATTGATTGACTAATAATTATATATATATATATATATAACAAATCATTAATATAACTAATTGATATATTTTTTTAGGGAGTTGGCACTTAAGGCTTTAGATAAAAGATTAAATTCCTCAAATAAAAATATTTATTATCCAGTTTCTCCACCTCCACAAAAATTGTCATTTCACCATCATCACCAATCCTCTTCACAAAATGCATCACAAGAATCATCATCTCTTAATACTAATGCTGATACTATTAATAATAATACAATATCTAACTCATCATTAACTGACAATGATATAACAAATTCAACAACAACAACAACAACAACATCATCAATATTATTTGATTCAAAAGATTATTCAAGTGACTTATAATAAACAATTATTATTATTATTTTATTTGTTAAATTAACTAATTATTAATTAATCTTTATAATTCATTTTTATTATTTAGTATAAATTTTATGGAAATAAATTTCCAATTGTAGCCTTTAATTGGTTGCAACATTATTCTATTTTTCATTTATATGATTGTAAAATATTGAAGCATAAAAATTTTTTTTTGCTGATACTAATGAATATTTTTCCCATCATAAAAATTAATAAAAAAAAAATTTTAAAAACCAAAATTTAAAAGCAATTGTTTTTAACAACAAAATTTTCAGTAAAGAGTATATTGAACGAAATTGTATACATTAATATGTAATTATAATACAAACAAAACTCAAAAGAATTGGGTTTAAAATTCTGATTTCTGCCCATCTTCAATTTCTATATGGTATAGGTGAAATTAGTGGATTGTGTACTTGTGGGTCAATAATTTAGTTATACACTTACTGGACAAAAGTATAGGGACACCTGCAGATCATCGCAAATAATTGAATAAAGTGACATGACAAAAACTAAAAATTTTACTATCCCAATCACACTTGCTTATTAAGTAAAAATTAATCTTCATATCAAATACTATAATATACTGAAGTTTTACCGCATACAATTAAACCATTGTTGTTTTACAAACTTTAAAAGATAAAAAATAAAATTCCGGAATTTTTTTAAAAATCTTTAACTCAAAAATTGACTATAATAGCAATTTCTAACATCTTTTATGGCATAATTAAAAAATGCTCGCCATGTTCGAAACTGGTTGTTTGCAAAATTTCACAAAGTGTGCAACATTATTACCCAATTTATTGACAAAAACACTAAACGGATTGATTTTTTCCAATTTTGAAGATTAAAAAAAAAATTTTGCAAAATTTTTAAATTGCAATCGCGAAGCAAATTTTTATCCAAATTAAACCATATTTTTTTCAAAGACTTAAAATGCCCAGAGGTACTGAATTATCTGAATTTGAACGTGGAGAAATTATTGGTTTAAAAAAGGCGAATTTTTCTTATAGGGAAATAGCCAACATATTGAATAGATCCAAAAGAGCAGTTGAAAACACCATTAATGATTATTTTAATAAAAATAAAACAACTGCAGCTCTTAGGACTGGCAGACCTAAAAACTTATCAACTCGTGATGAAAGACAGCTTGTGAAAGCAGTAAGAAAAGTCCCCAAAACAACTGCCAATCAGTTATCCAAACAACTTGAAGAATTAAACATTATAGCAAGTGAAAAGACTGTGAGGCGAACTTTACACACTAAAAATATTTATGGTAGAAAGGCTGTAAAGAAGCCATTAATTTCTGAAATAAATAGGAAAAAAAGATTATTTTGGTGTCATGCAAGAAAAAATTGGGGAAATGAATGATGAGAGTAGGTTCTTATTATTTCAAAATGATTCAAATGATTGGGTTTGGAGAATGGCAGAAGACAAATATAAAAAAAATTATTTAAGTCCAACAGTAAAACAATCTGATGGAATTATGGTTTGGGGTTGTTTTACAAGAAGAAAAATGGGTCCGTTAGTATTAGTTGAAGGTAAATTAAATGCAAGTAATTATAATAACCTTCTTGCAGCCAATTTATTACCTTTTATTAACGAATTAAGTAGAGAAGATCGCCATAATGATGGTGATGGTGTATTTATCTTTCAAGAAGATAATGCACCATGTCATAAAGCAGCTGCTGCAAACATATGGAAAGAAAATAATAACGTCATGGTTCTCCCCTGGCCTGCACAAAGCCCAGACCTCAACCCTATTGAAAATTTTTGGCAGGATTTAAAAAGAAGACTTAGATTAAAAAACTATAAATCAAAAAATAAGATTGAATTATTTAATTCATTGAAAGAGGAGTGGTTTAATACTAGTCCAGAAAAAATTAATAAATTAATAGATAGTATGCCACGAAGGGTTGATGCTGTTTTAAAAAGTAGAGGAAACCCGACA